GAGCAGCACCCCACTCTCTCGGTACCAAATTCTGTCTTAGTCACCTAATGCTGCTATAACAGAAATACCACAAGTGGATGGTTTTAACGAAGAGAAGTTTATTTCCTCACAGTCAAAGTAGGCTAAACGTCCAAATTCAGGGCATCAGCTCCAGGGGAAGGCTTTCTCTCTCTCTCGGTCTTCTTCTCATCAGTGTTCCCCGAGACTAGGAGCTTCTCGGCACAGGGACCCCAGTCCAAAGGATGTGCTCTGCTCCCGGCACTGCTTTCTTGTTGGTGTAAGGTCCCCCTATGTTTCATATGTTTTGAAGAAACATCTCCCCAGTTCCCAAATCTGCCCATCAACTTTAGCAAAGTGATCAGTATTTGAGTCCATCTTTTCAAGCAATTGAAGCCCCTCATTTTGTTTAGAACGCTAAATCTACACACCAGTGTTTTGAACAGTAGTAAATCATAAAGTTGAAGATCTGCGAATGAACACCTAAAAATGATAACATCAGCAAATTATGTGTTGCAATATTGTATGTAGTACACCTTGCTAACTAACAATCCAAACCAAACCAAACCTGTTGCCGTTGAGTCGAATCCAACTCATAGCAACCCTATAAGACAGTAGAACTGTCCCATAGGGTTTCCAAGGAGCAGCCGGTGGATTCAAACTGCCAACCTTTTGGTTAGCAGCTGAGCTCTTAAACACTGCTCCACCAGGGCTCCAGCTAACAGTAAGATGTACAAAAAAAAAAAAAATTGGGTTGTTACTTGCTGTTCGTCACAACTCGAATACAGCATAAGTTGGGGACTATCTATAATTCATTTTGGTATAGTGACTGTATTCCTTCCATCTTATTTTGATGCTTCCTGTGTCATTGAGTTTTTTACCCGTAAATTGTTCAGTATTGCATCTTGAGGCTTAAATTTTTCTTCAGTTCTTTCAGCTTGAGAAATGCTGAGTGTGTTCTTCTATTTTGGTTTTCTAACTCTGGGTGTTTGCACATTTCATTATAATACTTTGTCTTCTCGAGCTGCCCTTTGAAATCTTCTGTTCGGCTCTTTTACTTCATCATTTCTTCCATTTGCTTTAGCTACTCTGCATTCAAGAGCAAGTTTTAGAGTCTCTTTGACATCCATTTTGGTCTTTTCTTTCTTCTCTGTCTTAAATGACATTTTGATTTCTTCATGTATGACACCCTTGATATCATCCCATAACTATTCTGCTCTTTGGTCTGTGCGTCATATCTATTCCTGAAATGGTCTCTGAATTAAGGAGGGATATATTCAAGGTCGTACTTTGGCTCTGGTGGACTTGTTTTAATTTTTTTCAGCTTCAGCTTGAATTTGCATATGAGCAGTTGATGGTTTGTTCTGTAGTAGGGCGCTGGCCTTGTTCTGACTGATGACGTTGAGCTTCCCCATCTTATCTTTCTTCAGAATAGTTGATATGATTCCTGTGGATCCTACCCAGTGTGGTCCACATGTATACTCGTTGTGATCTTGCAGAATTCTATCGTGCAATCTCCAGTGTCTTTTCTATCACCCAAGCTGTATTTTCCAACTACTGATCCTTGTTTCCAAATTTTGCATTCCAACCACCAATAATTATCAATACATCTTGATTGCACGTTTGATCAATTAAGACCACAGAAGTTGATAAAAAATGTTCTATTTCTTCATCTTAGGCATTAATGGTTGGTTCGTAAATTTGAATAACAGTCGTATTAACTAGTCTTTGTTGTAGGCATATCGATATTACCCTGTCACTGACAGTGTTGTACTTCAGGATAGATCTTGAAATGTTCTTTTTGACCATGAATATGATGCCATTCGTCTTCGATTTGTCATTCCTGGCATGGGAGACCATTATGATTGTCTGATTCAAAATGGCCAATACCAGTCCATTTCAACCTACTAATGCCTAGGAAATTAATCTTCAAGTGTTCCATTTCATTTTTAACTGACTTCCAGTTTTCTTTGATTCACATTTCATACATTCCATGTTCCAGTTACTAATGGATATTTGCAGCTATTTTTGTCATTTTGAGTTGTGCCACATCAGCAAATTAAGGTCCTGAAAGCTGTACTCCATCCAGGTCATTAAGGTCGACTCTGCTTTGAGGAGGCAGCTCTTCACCGGTCGTATTTTGAGTGGCTTTCAACCTGAGAGGCTTATCTTCCAGCACTATATCAGACAGTGTTCCACTGCTATCCATAAGGTTTATGCATAAAATTGCCGGCTAAATTGTTTTTGGAAGTAGATTGCCAGGTCCTTCTTCCTGTCTGTCTTAATCTGAAAGCTTCACTGAAACCTGTGTACAACGGGACGTGTACCCCTGCGGTATTTGAAATACCAGTGGCATAGCTTCTAGCATCATAGCAGCACACAAGCCACAACAGTATAACAAGCTGACAGTTCCAATATTGAAGGATTCTGTAGGCAAAAATTGAATACCACAGGAAGCATCATGAGAAGATGGAAGGAATACAGAGTCACTGTACCACAAAATTGGTCAACATTCAATCATTTCGGGAGGTAGCAGATGAGCAAGAAGCGATGGTAGTGAAGGAAGAAGTTCAAGCTGCACTGGAGACATTGGCAAAAAACAAGGCTACTGGAATTGATGAAGTATCAATTGAGATGAGATGCTTCAACGAACAGATGCAGCGCTGGAAGCGCTCACTCGTCTGTGCCAAGAAATTTGGAAGACGGTTACCTGGCCAACCAACTGGAAGGAATCCATATTTGTGCCCATTCCAAAGAAAGGTGATCCAACAGAATTCAGAAATTATTGAACAATGTTATTAACGACATGTGCAAGCAAAATTTTGCTGAAGATCATTCAAAACAGCTAACTGTGAGAAATTCAAGCTTGATTCAGAAGAGGACATGGAACTGAGGATATCATTGCTGATGTCAGATGGATCTTGGCTGAAATCTGAGACTATCAGAAAGATGTTTACCTGTGTTTTATTCACTATTCAAAGGCATTCTACTGTGTGCATCATAACAAATTATGGATAATACTGCAAAGAATATAAATTCCTGGAATCTTAATTGTGTTCATGTGGAACCTGGACATAGACCACAAGGTAGTCATTTGAACAGATCAAGGGGATACTGCATGGTTTAAAATCGGAAAAGGTGTGCACCAGGGTTATATCCTTTCACCATAGTGATTCAGTCTGCATGTGGAGCAAATAACCCAAGAAGCTGGGCTATCTGAAGAAGAGTGGGCATCAGGATTGGAGGAAGACTTACTAACAACCTGCCTTATGCAGGTGATACAACCTTGCTTGCTGAAAGTGAAGAAGACTTGAAGCACTTACTGAAGAAGATAAAAGACTACAGCCTGCAGTATAGGTTACACCTCAACATATATAAAACAGAAATCCTCACAACTGGACCAGTAAGCAACATCATGATAAATGGAGAAAATATTGAAATTGTAAAGGATTTCATTTTACCTGGATCCACAATCAATGCCCATGAAAGCAGCAGTCAAGAAATTAAATGAAGTATCGTATTGGGCAAATCTGCTGTAAAAGAGCTGTTTAAAGTATTACAAAGCAGAAGTATCACTTTGGCGACTAAGGTACTGAGGTCTTTTCAGTTGTCTCACATGCATACAAAAGGGGGACAATGAAAAAGGAAGACCCAAGAAGAATTGATGCATTTGAGTTATGATGTTGGCTAGGAATATCGAATATACCATTGTTGTTGTTGACAGGGGCTGTCAAGTCAGTTCTGACTCATAGCAAACCTATGTGCAACAGAACGAAACACTGCCTGTCCTGTGCCTTTCTCACAATCATTGCTATACTTGAGCCCATTGTTGCAGCCACTTTGTCAATCCATCTCATTAAGGGTCTTCCTCTGTTTTGCTGACGCTCTACTTTACCAAGCATGATGTTCTTCTTCAGGGACTGTTCCCTCCTGATAACATGTCCAAAGTATGGGAGACGTAGTCTGCCATCCTTGCTTCTAAGGAGCATTCTGGTTGTACTTCTTCCAAGACAGATTTGTTCATTCTTTTGGTGGTCCATGGTGTATTCAATATTCTTTGCTAATATTCCATGGACTATTGAATATTGAAAAGGAGCCCTGGTGTCACAGTGGTTAAATGGTCAGCTGCTAACCAAAAGTTCAGCAGTTTGAACCCACCAGTGCTCCGCGGGAGAAAAACATGACAGTCTGCTTCCATAAAAATTACAGCCTTGGAAACCCTGTAGGGCAGTTCTACTCTGTCCTACAGGGTCGCTATGAGTTAGAATCGACCCTATGGCAACGGGTTTAGTTTTTTGGTATTGAATAGTGAATATACCAGAAGAACGAACAAATCTGTCTTGGAAGAAGTCCAGCCAAAATGCTGCTTAGATGCAAGGATGGCAAGACTTTGTCTGGCTTACTTTGGACGTGTTATCAGGAAGGACTAATCCCTGGAGAAAGACATCATGCTTGGTGAGGTGGAGGGTCAGCAAAAAAGAGGAACACCCTCAATGAGATGAATTGTCACTGGCTGCAACAATGGGCTCAAACATACCTACTGTTGTGAAGATGGTACAGCACCAAAGTTATTCATGGTGTCACTGTGAGTCAGAACCGAATTGGCAGCACCTGACAACACCAACAGCCATTAAAGTGATCCTTTTGTAATGATAAGCTGAAAAAAGAAAGGTACCCAATAGTACTTCTAGTATTATGTAGTTTACTTTAAAATTTATATATTTGTACATAAAATGAAGTTGAAGGAAATAGATGAAATGTTAGCAGTAGGATTTGAAATAAGGAATGCGTTTTCTTCACGTTTCTGTTTTCCAGTTAATCAACAATGAAAATTTAGTATTTGTGTGTTCAAAAAAGAAGTATAAGTCAATTTGTTTTATTTTGGTTTTTTAATACTATAAAACTGTTTACTTTATAGTGATCATTTAAGATCACCTGAAGAGAACTTAAATGTTTGGTCAGTAATTTTAATTCTTTTGTTTATACTCTTTTCTTTGATTCAGATTGGCCCAAGAGAGAGAAGAAGCAAAAACAAAAAAAGAAAATTCAAGACCAGGCAACACTGACTTGTTAAAAAAGATGGAAGTGGTTGATTTGCATATGAAAGCTGTGCCAGGGACTGAAGTACCAGGGCATAAAGTGAGTCTCCCTCTGGTAGCCTTAGATAGCCCAGGCACCAACACCTGAGACCACAGGACCATGGAGGTCATGGCAAAAACTGGTTGTTTTTTCCCCGTTTTTTTGAAACAGCATGGATAGTCCTTTATGATTTTCAAACTGCATTTACAACTTAGGTAAGCAGAATTCTCCACCCTTTTACAGATAGAGAAGTTAAAACTCAAGCAGAGTTGGGTTTTCCAAAGTAACATAGTTGGTAAGGAGCCATCAGGTCCCAAGTTTACCTTTTTTAGTGGCTGTGATTTTTGTGTGGCATCCTCCATGGTTTCTGTTGAAACCATGATATCTACCCCAATTTTCCTTTTTTTCCTCACACTTTTTCTCTTTAGAACTCGTTTTATTGTCCGAAAACTAGACTCAACAATAATCATGGCCCATCCTAGTTCAAGTTTTTTGTAAGAATTGTTTTTATGTAGTATGGTTATTATAAGGGTCCCTGGTGACACAGTGGTTAAGAGCTCAGCTATTAACCAAAAAGCTGGCAGTTTAACTCCATCAGCCATTCCTTGGAAACCATATGGGGCAGTTCTACTCTATCCTATAGGGTCGCTGTCTGTCAGAATTGACTCAATGGCAATGGGGTTTTTTTTTGTTTGTTTTGGTGATTATCTTTTCCATTTGCGACGTACGTAATACTTCTTTTTTTTCTTTCAGAATTGGGTTGTAAGTAAATTTGGAAGAGTTTTACCTGTCCTACACTTAAAGAGTCAACATAAACGTAAAATATCCTTTTTGATTGACTTTTCGAAGTAATTATTGTTTACCGTAGCAAGGGATACTTTCAAACGTTTACTTCATACCTCTAAATTTTCCCTGCTTTTATCAGCAAATCTTTAGGTATTTATATAGTAGTTTCTATGTTTCCAATTTCTAGGTAAGACCTACCTACTTACCTACATGTATGAAACATTAGCAAATAATGAGAAGATGTAATGAGGTTTCCTACAAAAAGTGCCCAAAAAGCACTTGTTCGTGCTTTCCCTTGTTCCCATGGATTCAAAGCCATTGGTAAACAAGCTGGTGCGGGGTTGGGGGCAGAACAGTGGGCTGTCATTAAGGAAAGCTCTGTGAAAGCCTTAGGACTTGCGTTGGATCTTGAAGAATTGGAGTACATTCTGAATTAATAGAAAAGGTATAGGAAGAAGTCCAGGAAAGAGGAAAAGAGTTGATAAAAATATGTAGACAGGCAGGAGAGTAATGGGTAGGGAAATATATGGACCCAGGATGACCAAAGTGACTGTTGCCTGTAACCTTGAGCAAATGAGGACAGACCATTTGTCATGGACTTGTGAGTAGAGGGTGCTTCTGTATGTATTCTTTGGCTCTCCACCCTGTGTATCAATCAAATGGAAACAGAATCCACTCAAGGTATTTCCAACAGAGGGAATATAATACCCACAGTTGGTTAAAAAGGTGCCAGAAGAGCAAAAAGCTGATGGCCAGGCTGTTCAAAGACGAATTAATGCAGCAAACCACTGCTACCCCTGAGGTTAGAGAAACACAAAGCTCACTGTTACTGTGTCCCTGAAGCTGCTACTCGAATCAAGGCCCCAGCAGCTTTGGCTTTGTCTGCTGCTTCTGCTCTCACTGCCAGTGGCACTTAAGTCAGGGAAATATTGACCTCTTCCTTTTCACTTTTGGCTTCCCACAAACGGCAGCCGCCAGCAGCAAGGGGGAGGATACTAAAGGACAGTGTATAGCTGAGAGACGATAGACACTATCAGGCTGTCTTAGTTATCTAGTGCTGCTATGACAGAAATACCACAAGTAGGTGGCTTTAACAAACAGAAACTTACTTTCTCACAGTTTAGGAGGATAGAAGTCTGAATTCAGGTTGCCAGCTCTAAGGGAAGGCCTTCTCTCTGGCTCTGGAGTAAGGTCCTTGTCTCTTTCAGCTTTTCTTGGGAGGTCTTCATATGGCTTGGCATCTCTCTTCCCCCATCTCTGCTTCTAGCTGTCCTTTAATTTCTTTTGTATCTCAAAAGAGATTGACTCAAGATACACCTTACATTAATCCTGTCTCATTAATATAACAAAGCCAACTGTCTTAGTCATCTAGTGCTGCTACAACAGAAATACCACAAGTGGATGGCCTTAACAAAGAGAAATTGGTTTCTTCACAGTAAAGTAGGCTAAAAGTCCAAATTCAGGACGTCAGCTCCAGGGGGAGGCTTTCTCTCTCTGTCACCCTTCTAATCAGTATTCCTCTGGACTAGGACCTTCTCCATGCAGGGACCCCAGGTCGAAAGGACGCGCTTGGCTCCTGGCACTGCTTTCTTGGTAGTATGAGGTCCCCCTATCTCTGCTTATTTCTCTCTTTTATATCTCAAGAGATTGCTTTAGGACACAATCCAACCTTGTAGATTGAGTCCTGCCTTACTAACACAACTGCCACCCCACTAACACAACTGCCACCCATCCTCCCTTATTAACATCATAGAGGCAGGATTTACAACATATAAGAAAATCACACAATACCAGGAATCATGGCCCAGCCAAACTGACATAAAGATTTTTGGGGGGACATAATTCAATCCATGACAACAAGCCACTCCCAAATGGGATTATAACCACAGGCATAGAGGTTAGGATTAACCACACACATTTTTGGGGGACACAGTTCAGTCCATAACATGTCACACCTCACATTGGCATATATTAAGGAGGCACAATGGTTAAGTGCTCAGCTACTAACCAAAAATGTTGGTAGTTCAAACCCACCCGCTGGCTCTATGGGAGAAAGACCTGACTTTCTGCTTCTGTAAAGATTACAGCCTAGAAAAACCCTAAGGGGCAGTTCTGCTCTCTCTCATAGGGTTCCTGTGAGTGGAAATCTACTCAGTGGCATCTAACGACGACAAATAGTTACTAAATGAACAAAGGGGCTCTTCAGGAGTGACAGCTTAAAGCAGCTTATGCGTTCCCATTCATATGTTTTAGAACATCAGCAAGTGCTACATATCATCACTACACATTAACATTAACTAGTGTTGTTTTGAGAGTCAGTAGCAAAACAAACCTGGTAAAAATTTATTAGCTTTCTAGTAAAGACCTACAGAATGTCTTGCAGTGATTGAGTGGAATGTGAAATGGACTTCATTGAGCTAGGAAAATCTGGAGAGCTAGGATGAGTCAATGTTGAGAAGACAGGAAAAGCCATAGGTATTTGAAAAGAAAGGATAAGAGTTACATAGCTTTGGCATCCTGAGTTCTCCTTTATACTCTGCTTCACAGTGTTGGCTCAGTGATGAATATAGTCTTGGGGCCTGTGTACTTAGAATGTAATTTGAATAGGTTCGCTATAACATCTACTTATGTCCCAAGTGATTTCTGCCAACTAACAATTGTGGTGCTTGGTTTTAACTCTGGACACGTCATAGAAAGCCCAGTACCAAAGACCCTGAAAGATCACCTAGTAGAGTCTTCATTTTGTTTGATTAGAACCTGAAGATAAGACAAAGTAAATGCCTAAGATTAAACAGTATTTCTTTGGTTTCACCAGATAGATAGGTTTTCTTAAAACCTACTGCTTTTGTTTTGATCCTTCACTCGGGTAACGTCATAAAATATGATCCATCAAAATATTGCCACAACCTGAAGAAGATAGGGGACAATTCCACAAATACCATCCCTGTAACCAACCTCACTTGGAAATTGGAAGGAGGACGTGATCCTATGAGTAAGAAACGACGAGGAGAGTTGTCTGACTTTCACAGCCCTCCTAAGAAGAGAGTAAAAGTACAGTGTGATGCGGGTGCCACTGGGCCTCTGGCTGTTCACCCACGACACAGTTCAGTAATGGACAGTCCACTCCTAATACAGCAGCAGGCTGCACAAAACACACCTCATGATTCCATCAGTCTTTCTAAATTACGCTGTGTACCTAATTCTGATTGTCAGAAACCTAAAAATGTACCTTTTCAGACTCATGGCTTGGAAATTGGCAGAAACAAAAATAGCATGTCTGATGATGATATCGATTCTGAAGATGAATTAAGAGCAATGATTACAAGAGAGGAAAACTTACAGAGAACTACGTGGTCCTCAATAAAAGAACTTGAAAATGATCCCTTTGTAGTTGTAAGGGATGATTTCAAATCAGATGTTCACAAACTTTATTCTTTAACGAGTTTAGGTATCAAAAATAATGTCTCTTGCCAGGTTAAAAATGATTATGTTACCGGAAATGATTGTGAATATGATTCAGGAGATACAGATGAAATCATTGCAATGAAAAAAAACAGTAAGGTAAAAAACAGCACAGAATTTTTAAATAGAGAAAAATCTATATGTCAGAAAACTTTGAAAGACAAAAAAGGCTGTGAATTTTCTGATGATTCTATTAAAGTACAAAACAGAAAAAAAAGAGTAGAGTTAGCAGTCAGTAATGGGGTTAGGTTTCTTAATTGTAAGTCTCCATCTGGCTCCAGTAACAGTGAAGATGCTAATTCTGTGTCGGAATCGGCTGAGTCTGAAGGAGACGAGGAGTATAACGCCATGATGAAAAACTGTCTCCGCGTGAATCTCACTTTAGCTGATTTGGAACACTTGGGTTGTAGTGATGCAGAGGCTCCGAAAGAGAGTACTGAGAGCAATAGCCAGGAAACCACCACCTGCTGCCAGTTTGTCAGGGCCTCCAGGAGCCTCAAGACTCCTGACAGTTCCCATAGAGGCAAACAGTGCATTCACCCTGAGGACATTGTGGCTTCTCTTTTAGAAGGAGAAAAGAACATCTGTAGTAAACAGAAACCAAAGGAAAACAAATTCCAGGCTTTCAAGGGAATAGTCTCACTCTATGGAAAGGAATCCAGGAAAAACTCATTGAAAGAGGGTATTGCCTCTAACAATATTAATAAAGATCAGAATTCCTTGAAACTTCAGGATTCCAGTAGCATTTCCATGGAAAAGGGGTCCTCGTTTGCTGATGGCTTATCAAGAGAACTGACTCCATGCCAACACACAAAGAAGGCAAATAGCCCTAACCATACTAAGCCTCAAAACAGACAGGCCATTTTTGAGAGCCAGAATCCCAAGGTGGTGTCCCCAAGCAATTCAGAAAAGAAAAGTACTACTTCTAGTCCGTTGCTGTTAACAGGTAAGAAGTCCTTAAGTCTTGGTGCAAAGAGTCACAAGATAGACTTTGATAAAGATGGTCGCCACAGTAACCCAAAGATAGAAGATGGTTTGGAGAAGGAGAGGACTGATTCACGCAGCCTTACATCTCCTGAGAAATCACCAAAGGTCTCTTCTGGGAAAGACAGGCCCAGCTGCATGTTCAGTAAACAGACTCAGGAAAGCAGAAGTGATTTCCCACGTTCTGTTAGTAATCCATCAGATGTTACTGAGGATAGGCATGCTCAAGATAATCGGAAGCGTTTGGCAGCCTTAGATGCAAGGCAGAAAGCAAAACAAATACAAAAGAAGCTGGTTCATAATGCTCTAGCAAATTTGGTGAGTACATTTTAAATCTGTTTTTAACAAAAATTCTTTCTCACAAAGTCAAGCTTTTCCTTTCATATGCAGGCAGGTACCTTTAGAGTTGGTGGTCAACTTAGCATTCGCTAATTTTGTGTTTTGTGCCCTTGAGTTATAAGCTTTTATTACCGTATATATACTATATACTACTCCTTCGTATATCCCAAAGAAAGTGAGCGTAAACTTTATTTACTAAGAACATTTTAATTTGTTTTTATCTAAATTTTTCTTCATAATTTTCTCTCATTTAGAAGCTATAACTGGTGTAATTAAGTGATAATATCCTAAGATGTGTGAATTTACATATAAATCAGCTATGGAAGTCTTGCCAAGATTTACTATAGTGAGTTGTTATTCCTTCTTTCAACAATTGTTAAGTACCAGTTCTAGACCTTTACAGTAAGTGCTAGATTTACAAAATGAGTAACATGTGGCTTGTTGGCTTACAAATAAGTTTGTTAGGGCCAGGAGAGAATTGTGCCTCTGTGCCAGGAAGCACGTGGTCTGGAGGACCACCAGGGGAGGCTTCTCTGCAGAAGAAGTGCCTGATCAGTCGGCATGAAAGGATAAGTGAAAATTAGGCAGAGGGAAGAGTGGCAAGGAGAGGAAAGGCATTCCAGGTTAAAGGAGCAATTATAGAGTACAGGGTGGCAAGAAATGAGGCTAGAGAGAAAAGTAGGGGCAAGTCATGAAGAGCCTAAGGAGGCTGGACTTTATTCTTAAGGCTGTGAAAAGACAGTGAAGGATTTTAAACAATGCAGATTGAAGATTAGTTGTGTATATTTTGGAATAGGAGTCTGCAAACTACAGCTTGTGGGCCACCCAGCCCACAGCCTATTTTTGTACCCTGAAAGCTAAGAAGGTTTTTTACGTTTTTAAAGGGTTGTAATAAAAGACAAGAATATGGGACAGAGACCACGTGTAGCCTGCAAAGCCTGAAATATTTACTCTCTGGCCGTTTACAGAAAATGTGTGGTAACCTCTGTGTTAGAAAGATCCTTTAGGCCCTGACAAACCAACAAATTGAATGGGGCAAAACCTGAATAAGGGAGAGCCTTCGGAGGTTGCAAGGACAAATTTAAAAGGTACCAAGAAGATCAAATTGATAGGACTTGGTTATCAACTGGATATGGAGAGAAAGAGAAGTCATAAGTTTCTGTATTGGGCAATTAAGTAGATGATAGTGGCATTCACTGAGTAAGGAAAGGATAGGAAGTAGACTTGGAAGGAGAAGATAAGGTTTGAACCTGGTAAATTTGAGATTAGATTGTCTGAAGATATACTGCTTTTGATGGCCCCCCTAGGATGATCATTCAGAGATCAGGCCAACACACATCATCTTTGGTTCTGACAGTGAAAGTGAAACAAAAGAGACATACATTCAGGAACAAAGCCATCCCAGAGAGGAGCTTGTGAAGGTAAGAAATTAGGACATAACTGTAGGTGTTCATCCATTTTTGTCTGTTGCATATCAAGACCTCTACATAGCTTCGTCTCCACATAAAATCCTCCTGGGAGCTACAGTGCTATCCAGGGCCCCTCAGAACCGCATACCCTGAGACTACAGGTGTCTTGGAAGTTTCCTCCATCATGATCCTATACTCGTCACATCACCTGCTAATTCACCACCACCACTATTACCCTCCAAATCTAGGCTACACTGGGGAACTTCTGGATTAATGATCTGAGAGGCCAGTTAAATATCATTGAGTTAGGAGTTTATGTTCTAACCCACCATCCACCTGTTTATGGTAGATGCATGTACATTCATGGGAGGTATGAAGGGAAAGATTAAGTTATGAAAACAACTGCTGATTACTCAGGTATTAATAAATGTTTGTTTTCTTTGTTCATCAACATGAAAGGAGTCCATCTGTAAAGCACCTGGGAAGCTATTTGATAGCAGCAGTAATGAGGAATCTGATTCTGAAGATGACAGTAACAGGTTTAAAATCAAACCTCAGTTTGAAGGCAGAGCTGGACAGAAGGTTAGTGACGACTGAAAATAATAGAACTTCCAACACCTCCTTCTTATTGTACATAATTCTGGAACAAGGTAGCAGATAGACCTTGACATCCATTCTAGTGTTGAGGTGTTTGGGAGTAAATCCTCTGTGATCCCTTTTGATTGAGTTGTGGTTGGGTGACTTTATGGGAACATTTATGCAGTGGATTTTAAAGCATGAGGAGGTGCACTCTGGAGAGTCTGGCTCTCAGTTGTCAGTGTTTTTTTTTTATCTGTAGCTCATGGATTTGCAGTCTCGCTTTGGCACTGATGACAGATTTCACATGGACTGTCGATTTCTAGAAAGTGACAGTGAAGAGGAACAGAAAGGTAAATGTCTCACTGTCAAAAGAGTCATGATACCAGAGCTGCTGGGACCCTTGGAAATCATCTAGTCTTCCTCCTTCATTTAACGAACGAAGAAACTCTGCATGCCAAGACATTGAATTGAGGAGCTTAGTTAATACGTCCTGAGTTTGTTTGTACATATCAATTTCTTCAGAAACATTTAGTTACTTGAAGCTGCCAGAAAGACCAGGAATAAATAGCATCCACCAGAGGTTCTGTTTTTCTCCATCGCATCCCTGGCATAAGACAAGGCGAGGTGCCTGTATGGCAGCCCACATCAACAGACAGGCATGTTCTGACTGAGGCCATGGAAAACTATTAAGGCACACTTGGCTTTCTTAAAAGAAGAGTGTTTGTCTTTCCTTAGGTGTGCGTGCTGGGTGCGAGTTTTTTAAAAAGCAGTGTAGCCATTTCACTTAAATTCATCCTTATTTGGATATATCTAAGAGTAATTATGCTATCAGAAGCATCCTAACTCCTCTTTTTGAATCCCTATAGAATTTTTCACAGCAGTGGTTTCAAATTTTCTCTGTAAGACCTTCTACTCTTATCATTTTCAAAGGATCTTACCTCCTACTTGCCCAAGAGGATGGCCACATATAGTGAGCTCCCTAAAATTCCCTCTCTTAACCTCAGAATTTCTCTATCCTTACCCCTTATTCTTTTACTTTTGTAACTTTCTTGAGTTAATCTAAATCTGTTTCTTAATCCTCGCCATTCATACTTCCTGTTGCTTCCTTTCTCATTTGCCCATTGATCCTTGCCCTTTCTTTCTACAGACATAGTTAAGTCTCATGGGTTCCCAAAAAGCCATTCTTCATCAGCTCTGCCAGTTTTCTAGTTGCCACCTCACTTCTTTTAGTCTTCTTTTGTTTCTTTCTTTTCTTTTGTGGTAAATATGTAACAAAACATACGCCATTTCAACATTTTTCATATCTGCAATTCGGTGACATTATGTGTATTACGTTATTCAGCCATCACCATTATCTGTTTACATATTTTTCCATCACTCTTAACAGAAACTGAATGTCCCGTAAGCAGTGAGTCTCTCTTTCCCCTTCCCTCCCACCACTGGTAACTACTAATAAACTTTGGTGTCTGTACACTTAGCAGTTCTAGATATTTCATGTAAGCCAGGTCGTACAATATTTGTTTTTTGGGACTGGCTTATTTCACTCAACATAATGTTTTTAAGGTTCATTCATGTTGTAACATGTATCAGGACTTTATTTCTCTTCATGACTGAGTAATATTCCATTATATGTATATACTGCATTTTATGTATCTATTCATATGTTGATGGATATTTCAGTTGTTTCCACCTTTTGTCTATTGTGGCTATGGTGCAGTGAACATTGGTGTACAAATGTCTGTTTGCATTCCTGCTTTACATACCATTTCTTTTTTATTTCTAAACTTGAAATAAAAAATAAATTATATCTAATTCAGTATGTACCATAAGATGTACTTTATTGTGTACTTGATTGAATACTGTCTCCGATTTGATCCTTACAATTCTTTGAGGCAATTATTATGGTACGTTGAGTTTCCAAGGTTTAGCTAGGTTTAAAATAAATTCTCCAAGATTCATACCAAGTAATGTTTCAGAGCTAAGACTTTAGTTCTTCTGACTCAAAGTTCCATGTTGAAAACACAGGAATGGCAGAGCCTTAGAAATAACTTTACATTTAGAAGCAGAATATAGAGTTTACTTTCTTAACTTCAGCCACTTTTATCAGTCTCCTTACAGTTCTTGTGATATATATTCCCTCAAAGCTATGGATAACTTTTTCACTAAGTAGAGTGGCATTTTCTTAAACTTTATTCTCTTCAGCCTACCTGTAATATTTCATTGTTGACCATCCCCTATTGAAATTTTCTCTTCCCTTTACTTCTATTACAACTTCCTGGTTTTCTTCCCAACTCTTGTGGTTCCTAATTTGCTTTTTGCCTCCAGATGTAGACCCTTCCCATAATGCCCTGTGGCTTTAGCTCCCACTTATACATGGTATTTCCCAATTTTGGTCTTTTTTGCTCCTGACTGTTCTCTGAGCTCTCACCTCTTCCTTAAAGGAAGAGGTGGGTCCTTTGAACAGGCTATCCTGTATCCGTGTGAAACTCAGCAAATCCAAAACTAGATTTCTCTCTCTTTCTCTCTCACCCTAAACCAGCTGCTCCTGGCCCTTCTCTCTGTTAATAGAAATTCCACTTTTAGGGCAATCAGATGTATAACCTCCATCTTTTGCTGTATCTTTCCTTCTCAGTTTTTTTGTGAATTGCAAAGACTGTCCTGCAAGTAAGGGCATAAGCCAGTGTCTTACTTGAACTTTTAGTCCTTTCCAACGTTATATTCTACTGCTCCTCTATGTGCACATTCTTAGGTTAAAATTGAAATTACTGTTTTTTGAAGTCAGAAATTGTTGAATATCAGCAGTTTCATATGGTTCAACCTAATATATACATAATCTAAACTCTTTGTATTTTCTTATTTCAGTATACATGCTCATTTTATTTCTTCCACCTAGCATGCTCTCCTCCCACCTCTGGGGATCCAGTTTGCCTTTCCTAGCTCAGTCTCTACCTAATTATAAAGCATTTTTTGGTACAGTTGAATATAATCTCTACCTTCTTTGCATCCTTAGAAATTTTGGGGGCATTTCTGTAGAGAACTTAAATCAGTGTTTTTCTAGTTCTGTTATTGGTTGTTTATATCCTGCAATAAATTGAAAGGGTCTTGAAGCCTTAGACATCTTCTTTTGTAGTTCTATCTGTAACCCAAAATAACTAACTTTGTTCTGATATTTGTCTGTTTCTAGTAGTCAAAGAGCAGATTATAGAGTTCCATGACGCCCTCTGTATGTACAGCACATGACTTTCTACCTAAAATATTTATTACTGAATCAAAGGCTAAAGCCACTTTCTTCTAAAGCATCATATTAACACAGTAAAATTACCACCTTCACTACCTTTATCATTGTTTAGAATGTTAAAACATAGAATAGTCCATAATCACTTTAGTTTTGGTATTAGTATCTTGTGGTTTTATGTTTACCAATATTCACTTTAAAATTTTTTATACTTGTCACTTAAAGCCATTAAAACCAGATTTCACTTTCATAAGTGGTTCTTTTTGTTTGCTGGTCATGGGATTTCTCAGTTCCCTGTGGCATGAGGGTCTTAAGAGATAGGGGAGTTATCAAAATGAAGCTTAATTTTCTTTTTCCTACCTTACTGGGCTTTCCACATATTTAGGTGCTTGGTAATTATTTAATGATTGAGAATTTTAAAGCTATGCTTGCCATGAGGTTGCTAATTATCCTTTCCCTGACAGAGGTAGATGAAAAGAAAACTGCTGAGGAGGAAGAGCTTGCTGCAGAAAAAAAGAAAGCACTGGATGTTGTGCAACATGTGTTGCACATCAACTTGAGCAATTCTACAAGCAAAGGATCAATAACTGCTAAGAAATTTAAGTATGGCTTATGTTGCATCTCATTTCACCATATTTTCCTTCACCATAAATGGCTTCTGGAACTCAGTTTGAAACTAGTGCATTTTAAACTTTCCAGGGAGGGGATTTGGCAGTATGTATCAGAACCCTCAAAAATATACTTACCTTTGACCCAGGGATTCACTTCAAGAAATTAATTCTAAAGAAATTATTTCTATATTTATGTACTTAGATGTTATTGCAGCATTGCTCCCATTAGTGAAACAATTGGAAAGCAGCCAAAATATTCAACAATAATGGACTGACAAAATAAATATGCTGTAACTGTACAGTAAATATTATCTAGCTATTTTAAATGGTCACATTATGTATGTTGTTGTTGTTAGGTGCTGTTGAGTCAGTTCTGACTCATAGTGACCCAGTGTACGATAGAACAAAACAGTGCCTGGTCCTGCTCCATCCTCACAATCTTTGCTGTGTTTGAGCCCATTGTTGCAGCCACTGAGTCAGTCCATCTCCTTGAGGGTCTTCCTCTTTTTGTTGACATTTAAACTGTTTATTATGGAAAATTTAGAACATATATAATTTAGAGAGACTAATGTAATGGAACTGTGCACACCATCCTTTAGCTTCTACAATTATCAACACATGAGCAGTTTTCTCATCTATGTCTTTACTCACTTCATCTTGCCTCCCCAATGAAATATTTTATGCATATCTCAGATATAATTTTATCTGTATATATTTTAGTATGTTTAAAATAATTTTTAAAGTTAAAAAAGATCCAAGGAAACTTAAAACTAGGTAATTTAAAATAAGAGTATTTCTCACAAGATGTTAATACTCTTCTTTGATATCACGCCATTTCTGCTTGTCCCAAAATTAGAGTTTTCCTAGTGTTGAATTATAATTTTATATTTATTTTTTATATTAGTGTTCTGATTTATCTCTTCCAACTTAACAATTTTCTTTTTTTTAACATAGGGACATCATACATTATGATCCAACAAGGCATGACCATGCCACTTTTGAAAGACAAAGAGATGATAAACAAAAAGAAAGGTAAATTTCAAACTACTACTTTGCGTAGTAAAAGGTATGAACTAATCTAATTTCAGATAATGAGAAAAGCAGGTAATAACCAGTATCTATCAATAAGTCCCCATTGTATTTAGTTTAAGACCAGTGGAGGGAAAAGTTAGGAATTATTAACATGGTGGAGAAGTCTTACTTTTGGCAAAGGAATCCCATCCATTAATAACGATGTGTGCTCCTGCTCTAGTATGGTGCTTCCTACTTGTACTGGTTTCCTGTGACTGCTGTAACAAATTACCACAAACTTGGTGGCTTAAAACAACGGGAATTTATTTTCTCACAGGTCTGGGGGCTAGAAGTCTGAAATCAAGGTGTTAGGAAGGCCACACTCCCTCTCGAAGAGGTGTAAGGGGGACCCATTCCATGCCTTTCTTTTAGCTTCTGGTGGCTGCTGGCAATCCTTGGTCTTTCTTGGCTGGTGACCACAACACTGTATTCTCTGCATCTGTCTTCACACAGCCTCCTCCTCCCGTGTGTTTCTCTGTGTGTCTCTTATAAGGACACTTGTGATTACATTTAGGGGCCACTTGGATAATCTGGGGGTCTCTTCATTTCAAGATCCTTAACTTAATTACATTCACAAAGACCCTTTTCCAAATAACCTAACACTCAGTTCCAGGAATTAGAACATAGACATATTTTCTTGGGGGCTACCATTCAACTCACTGCACTATTCTAGTGTGGTACCCGTTGCCATCAAGTTGATTCTAGTGTGGTAAAAGCTTCTATTTTCAATAAACGTGCAGTCAGTTTGGTAAATATGGCAAATAAAAGGAGCAACAAGTACTTTTGCCTGACTTAATATCTTCATTTTCCTACTATTAATAGCAACTAAAATCACTGAAAGCGATGTGGTATCCTGGATTGGATCCTGGAAAAAGAATATTAGTGGAGAAACTGGTGAAATCAGAATAAATTCTTACGAGTTTAGTTACTAGTAACGTACTGATGTTAATATTTTAGTTTTGACAATGGTACCATAGTTATATACGATGGTAACATTAGGCGAAACTAGGCAAAGACTATTTAGGAACTTTGTACAATTTTTGCAACCTTTCTGTAAATCTAAAATGACTCTAAAATTAAAACTTTATTTTAAAGGGAGGGAAGGGGAAAGGGGGGTGTTGCTTACGTAGTACTGTGTTTGGTTTACAGTGATGAAAAAATTGCATTGATTAAGGGTAGGGTAGCATAGCTGATTAATATAATTGCTGTCAATCAGTTGTACACTTGGCAAAAGTTGTATGATATTTTTACAAAACAAAACAACCAAAAAAGAAAAGTGCAGCTGCTGAGGCTGCTTATGTACAACCAAACATCTGATAGGATTCAGTTCCTTGGTTTGGAGGTTTGGGGTCATGGTTCCATGGAACATCCCAGTTAACTGGTCTACTGATATGTTCAGTGCTAGTGCTGTACTCCTAGTTTGTTGCTTAGTTGCTGGGGTCTTGATAGTTTACAAGTGGTCATCCAAGGAACAGCGATTAGTCTCTATTCGCCTGGAGCAACAGAGGAAGAAGAAGAGTCAGGAATAGGAGGATATAGAATGTATGGCTAATTGCCTCCATGAACAACTGCCTCCTTTGCCGTGAGACCAGAAGAACTAGATGTTGCTTGGCTACCATTACTGCACATTTTGATCAAAGATTCCACAGAAGAATCCTTATCAAAAGAGAGAAAATGCAGAACAGAATTTCAAATTCTTATGGACTCCATCTTTTCTGGAACCACAGGGGCTGGGTGAACCCCTGAAACTATTGCCCTGAGATAATCTTTAAACCTCAAACCAAAAATGTCCCCTGAAGTCTTTTTACAACCAAACAATAGTTTAGCTTAACTAGTAAAGATTGTCTGCCTTGAGCATTATGGCCTTTTAAGAACTATCTCTATGGGATCAAATTGACAACAGGAATTCGAAAGATTAGATAGGAACCTTGGGGGGCAGTGAGTTTATATTAATGGGAGAGGAACAACTCAGAAAAGGAGGGTGAAAATGGTTGTACAACTTGAAGAACGTAATCAGTGTCACTGAGTTGTACATGTAGAAACTGTTGAATTGGTGTATGTTTTGCTGTGTTTATTCTCAATAACAACAAAAATTAAAAACAATGTTTAAAAAAACACTTTATTTTAGAAAAATCACATCAGACCAAAGTAGAAGTAATATAAATATTCTTTGCAGTGTAGAATTTTTGTGTATTATTTCAGCTAGCCCCCATTGAACATGACAGGTGTGTGAGAGCTGTTGTGTATTATGTATCAGTTTTGTTTTTCTGTCTAGGGTGTATTAGTTATCTATTGCTGTGTAACAAACTACCTAAAATATAGCATCCTAAAACCACAAACATTTATTATCTCAGAATGTCTGTGGGTCAAGAATTTGTGCACTTCATTATGTGCTTCTGGCTCCAAGACTCTTATGAGGTTGCAGGGAGATGGTGCCTACAGCTTCCATCTCTGAATGCTTGCCTGGGTCTCAATGATCTGTGTCTTAGGCTGGGTTCTCTCAAGACGCAAACCAGTAAAGGGTATAAATATATATATAGAGAGAGAGATTTATATCAAGGAAATGGCTCACGGTTGTAGAGGCTGTAACATCCCAAGTCCATGGGTCAGAAAAGAGGCTTCTGATTCACATAGCCACAGGGGCTGGCAAACCGAAGATCGGCAGGCTGGAGAGCAGGGCTGTTGCTCACAGGCTGAGAAGATCAACACATCTCCAAGATCAGCAGGCAAGGCTGCAGGTAAGCTGCTAGCTCAAGTTCCAAGAACCAGAGGTCAGATGAACAAGAGCCAGCCACAGGATCCAAAATAAGCAAAAGCCCCAGCAAGGAGAGGTGGAAGAGCTAGGCAGCTGGAAGGCAGAGAGATGAAGGGTGAGGCGGGCAGTGAGCTGCCACAGGCCCCACCCCCAGAGGTACCAGCTCGCAGCAGATCCCATCATGGGGTGATCACATATCAAATCTCAACACGGAAGTGATCACAACATTATATGACTGCTGAAACACTGAGAATCATGGCCCAGCCAAGTTGACACACAATCCTAACTATCATAATCTGCTTCCAAGGTGACTCACTCATGGCTGTTGCCAGGGGACTTCAGTTTCTTGCTTCATGGGCCTCTCCAGTAGGCTGCTTAAGTGCCCTTACAACATGGTCTCTCCCAGAGCCTGAGAGAGAAAGAGAAGGAAGCCACACTGTATTTTATGATCTAGTCTCAAAATTTACATACCGACACATCTGTCTTATTCAAATTTTAGAAGCAAGTCACTTGAGTCTAACCCACACTTTGATGGGTGACTCAAGCTCCTCCTCTTGAAAGGAGTAGTAGGACAGAGTTTGTGAATATATTTTGAAACCACCACAATCCACCGTCTGGCCACAAATTACGTTATCACATGCTCACCCCCCTTTCCCTAGAATCCCCCAAAGTCTCATCCCTTTATAACATTAGCTCAAAATACAGGATGTCATCAGATCTAAGTGCAGATGAGGCATATGTGTTGCAGTTCTTTGAATATAGTTCTTTTTTGATCAGACCTGCAAACTAGAGAGACAGTTGTTTGCCCCTCCCCCAACATAAAATGGTGGAACAGACATAAGATAACCATTGTAAACACTACTGTTCAACAAGGGGAAAGCAGGAGGCACTGGTCCACAGTAGCTCTGAAATCCAGACAGGCAAATTCTTTGCTTGTACATTTGATTAGGATTGAGGGTCTCAGTATAGTTCTCTGTGGATTTTGGCTCTGCCTTTTGGATCAGTCTTTTTCAATAATGGTAGCACAGGTTTGCAGCTGAGTAGTTTTTTCAACCTGCTTTTTCCCTGTAGAAGTTTGAGGATCCAAAAGACTTTTTTTTGTTTTCTAATCTCTCTTTACCTGTTCCAGCTGCAAGCTGGTGGTGTTTCTGCTATACAGTTCTCTTAAAATCTTTGTGAGTCTCCTGTGATTCTTCAAGTACACTCCATTAGACAAAGGCCACACCCACAAATCGTTTCGAGATAAGCTCTTCTTGGACTTCTGCTAAAACTGCAGGAGGAACATGTTTATGAGATCCATAAAAGCCCTAGTCTGTGATCAATTGATCTAGGTTCCCATCTAGGTTCTTAAGGGATTTTGTTTTATATTTGGACCAGGGTCTGTAAACTTTTTTTTTTCCCCAACCATTTAAAAATAAAAGACATTGTTAACTTGCAGTCCATACGTAAATATGTGGCAGGCTGGATTGGGCCGGTAGCAAGTTTGCTTTAGACCACGTTTTCTAGAGATTACCTTAGATTAGGTCTTTGCTCAGAAACCTTTTCTTAAATTTCATGTCCTTTGCTTTTTAAAGATTAGGAATCTACAAAACCTGGAAGTACTGGCTCCTTAAAAAAAAAAAAAAATTCTTCCTTTAGTTTACCTCTGTCCTCTCGCATTTTATTCTATAAGCAGCAAGAAGAAATCTGAAAGTACCTTTAACACTTTCCTGGAAATTCCCTAGCTAAATCACCCAGTTAATTAGGTCAATATTCTGCTCTCCACATTAATACGGTGTCACTAAACTTTCTGCTACTACATAACAAGGATCCTCTTTCCTCCAATTTCCAATTGCGTTTACCCTATTGTTCTTGCAAGCCCTTACCTGTAGTCTCATTAAAGGCCATGTGATTTTTACTAACAGTTTCCTCAGGGCCCTTCAGGTTTTCACTAACACCATTGTCAATGACATTCCGACTTCTACCGTCATTGCCTGGGTTCTAAATGTAAAACCACTCCTACGTTTAAAGTTTTTGGCACAGCAGTACCCCACTTCCAGGTATAAAAATCTGTATCAGTTATCTATCATCGTGTAAAAAATTACCCTAAAACTTATCAACTTAAAACCTCAAACATTTATTAAGGTCACAATTTCTGTGAGTCACAAATTTGGGTACAGCTTCACTGGGTAGTTCTGGCTTAGGCTCTCAAGACTTTCAGTTAAGATGTCACCTGGTGCTGCAGTGTGTAAAGGTTGACTAGGGTGGAAAATCCTCTTCCAAGGTGGCTCATTCATGTGGCTATTAGCAGAAGGCCTCAGTTCCTCACTGGCGTCACAACATGGCAGCTGGCTTCTCTCAAAGCAAGAAATCGAAATTGGGGAGAGACAGCAAGGAGGAAGCTGTAGAGTATTCTGTGACCCTAGTCTCAGAAGTCACACACCATCACATCTACCCTATTCTGTTTGTTAAAAGAGGTCACTAAGTCCAACCCACGCTCAAGGGATAGGGTATTAACCTCCACCTCTGGAAGGAAGGCATATCAGAATTTTTGGACCAATTTTAGAACCACCACTTTGAGGCTCAGTGATGATCCCTTGGAACTGTGTATGTAACGTAATTTTTGTAGAACTCAGTTTGCTAGAAGGCATATCTGTCTTAAATCCTAACCACTGTGGTTTACTTAGTGAAGTATTAAAAGATTCTATGAGATGGTCTCCACCAATAAGTTGGTTATTTAGGACATCCTGGTCACTTATTATTTTAGCTAATACTTTAAGAACCTTTGGCCTGATCTTATATATAACATATGGAATGAACTCTTATAGGAAACAGGATTTTAATATTTCTTAGCTTAAACTCAATATTGAAAATAGCCATGTAATGTTTAGTCTAAGCTTAAAGAGAAAAGCTTATTAAATATAGAGCAGCTTTATGGTAAAATAAACATTTCATTTCAAAATGGACTAATTTTACCACATTTATACTTCATTTCTAAAACTAAGTTCTAACCAAATCCTTTTATGTCAGTTTCATAAAATGCACAGAAGTGTAGAACTTGAAATGGTCTTAGAAGTGACCTGGTTTAGTATATTCAATTTTCAGTTGAGAAGACTGAGGCCCCTTGACATTGCTTTTCTTACTCAAAGCTAACATCTTAGGTGTCATTTGTGAAATATAGAAGTTGAGATAGAAGAATATGATTAATGTTTAATATTTGGAGCTGTTTGAGATATTTTGCATAAAACTTATTGGGTGAAAATTATGCTTTTATTAGTTGAGTTTTTTTTTATGTGGATCCTCTTTATTGTTGAATGAATGGAATTAGAAGTTATTGAAAGTGTTTCCTTTCCTGATGTCTGGAAATTTTCCCAAAGGTGACTATTTGTTTGTGATGCATATATCTGTATATGTCATGGCAGTAAAGCAAAGCGAAAGAAGAAAAGGGCAGAATGTGAGAAGCTACCTGAGGTATCGAAAGAAATGTATTATAGCATTGCTACGGATTTGAAAGAAAGACTCCAAACTACAAAAGATAGCAGTGAAAAGAAAGAAAACATACCCTGGAATGTAGACTGTGATGGAGACAAAACAGAAATAAATGACCCTACGCCTCTAAAGAATGGGGATGAGGAGCCGGCTGGGTTTACATTTTCCTTTTTTGATTCAGATGCTAAAGATGTAAAGGAAGGTAATTTTTCTCTTTTCCTTTTTCACTTCAGACAGTTTGAACTTAATAGTCTACATTAAGTGTAATGATTTAACCTTAGTGAGTAAAAGACTCTTCCTTCCACACATAAGCAGTGTGAGATTCAGGATTCATGATCAGAAATGTAATGTGCCTGAAGCTGTGTTTAATACAAGAAGAAATCGTTTTTGCAAACTTCTGATTAGTTGCCATATGAAATGAGGCCAGAGAATAGTGTGCACCATCCCCTTCTTTTGCTCAGTAGAAACATCCATGAAGAAGTGTAATGAACCATATATTTAAATAGTTTCACATGGTAAGTGCAAGGTCCCTTGGTGGCGCAAACAGTTTGTGCTGGAGAAGCCATGACTTATGGACAGCCAGTGCTGCATATCGTGGGGAAAAAAAAGAAATAGGTAAACATCTTAGCTTTAAACATGTATGCATGTGATTGATATGCCAGTTGTTTTTGAAAGTTTATCCTTGGATTTTGCCAGAACCCAAGGTAAAGTATAAATACTAGTACCTCTAATTTTGCATTCCATTTCAGGATACTTGCCTCTGAAGCCCAATATGGACCACATTAAAAACATCTCTTCCTTAGTAGACTGTGACTCTTCCAGTATCCAGATATACACGTAGCTTTTCTAGAACTTTATTATAAAAAGCAGTATATACCTTTATAGAAGAATATATGCAGACCTAACTATGGTTGATTCTACTTCAGAGATCAGCGTCCATGTATTAGATGCCAGCCCTGTGGTACTTTAACAGGAGGCATAACAATCTAGTGGTAGTTTTTCAAATATTGTTATAAATAAGCCGCAATCTCTCATGTCCTCTGCTTCATTTTATTGCCTGTATTGTCTCCATTTGAGTACCTTGTTCAGTAGAGTTGGTGCTGATATGGATATTAGCTACCATTCTTCTTTCAGAGCCACATGTGAAGAAATTTACCTGGAAGTGAGTTCTGTAGATGCCCAGCAAACCTGGAAGGTTTGCTTTTAAGTCCTTGGGAAACTTTGAGGGCTCGTGAGGTGATAGTCTGTATTTTATAGCACTGGCTTCTTCAGCAGTTCTAGAACGGGGTTTTGGGAATTGAATACCTAAGGATATGTTCCTTTTCTCATTTATAAATAATCAGAAAGGGAAACCTGGTTTCACTGCATCATGTTATATTTTAGTCTTCATTCTAGCACAAGTGCCAAATTTACTTAGTCTTTTTTTTTTCTAGTTATGTATTAGACATTTATAACTAAAATACCTTTAGTTTTTGTGCCTTTTCATAGTATTACTATATTCTACTCTAGCAGTGTCAAAAAATATGATAGTAGCTTCACTCAATATTTGAAAAAATAAAAAGATGATGTTACCTATTGTAAGTTAATGATTAAGTTATTGAAAATTTAGAGATATATCTGCGTGGTGAAAGTACCGTATTTTTACACACAGAATGCACGTGTTTTATGTTTTTTTGGCAACCACACATTCCCCGTATGAGGTATTTTCATAAGTGTGCTATGCTTTTTTTTTTTTTTTTTTTTACAGCAACATGTACAAAAAATCAGCATAGTGCACTCATGAAAATACCTGGGGGGGAACGCGGTTGGCAAAAAAAAAACAAAAAACATATAACACGTTTGTTATTTGCATAAAAAATACAGTAAGAAACATGCTTCTTCAGAAGTAACTGAGTTTTTCAGTTATAAGCCCATCATCATTTATTTTTGTGACAATATAGAGACCTATAGAGTTGAAACAGTGAAACCTGGAAAGATTGCCTGGCAGGAAGACCCTTGTTTTCAAGACAGCAGCTCAAAAGAGGAAGATGCTACTGAAGTCATAGATCACAGAAGGCCCAACTCAGGGTAAGTAATTTGTTTCTATTCAAGTGTATTTCATATTTTGTAAAATCTGAGTTAGATACACTTTAGAAATAGTATAGAAGTATCTAAGCTTATCTTCACAAGACAACTTCATGTTCTCTTAGCTCCTTTAGAGAGTTCTCTAACCTTTTGGTAATGGGGTACTTGTTTCTTTTTCCTTGAGATTTGGATAGCACTGGTGGGGGCTGGGGGATGTGATGAGCACAGGGACAGGGACCTGATAGTGATGTTGCTAATTGGAAACAGCCTGCTGCAGTGTGCCGTCTCCCCTCCCCCTTGCAACTACTGGCAACCGGAGGTGGTGGCTTCTGGGGGGTGAGCATGTGCTGTCAGAAACCAGAATGGGGAGGGTAGAGTTTGTACTTAAACAACTCTTGATTATCAAAGCTTGAGGTAGAAGAATGTTGAATAGAGAGGGGATGGAGTCATTTCCACTCAGGGAAATAAATGAGCAAAAATAAAAAGCAGATATATTTGAGGAGTAGTCATTTATATTTTCAATGTGAACATTTCTTCTTAAGGATTAAAATTAAACCAACCAATATATGCTTGTCTATCTCTGTCTTTCTCTTTCTTCAGAGAAGTATCATTACCTGAGAAAGAGACCAGTAGATTTTTCTTTTTCTGTAAGAATGACGAAAGACTTCATGGTAAGTCCATTTTTTTCATTAAATGCTTTAGTAGTACAGCTTCTTCTTTTTTTTTTTTTTAAATAATTTCTATATGTACAATTCAGTGAGATTGATTCTATTCTTCAAGTTAATGCAACCATTCTCAACCTCCTTTTCCGAATTGTTCTTCCCCCATTAACTCACTGCCCCCTAAACCTCCTATCTAATCTTTTGAGTTGCTGTTGTCAGTTTGATCCCATGTAGATAGTTCTTTAAAAGAGCACAATGCTCAGGGAAGATATTCTTTACTAGTTAAACTATTGTTTGGTTTAAAAAAGACTTCAGAGGATAGTTTTGGTTTACAGTTTAAAGATTATCTCAGGGTTAAGTAAAGTACTATTGAAGAAGAATAAAGTAGGAGGACTCACACTATCTGACCTCAGAACCTACTATACAGCTACAGTAGTCAAAACAGCCTGGTACTGGTACAGCAACAGACACATTGACCAATGGAACAGAATTGAGAACCCAGATGTAAATCCATCCACCTACGGTCATCTGATCTTTGACAAAGGTCCAAAGTCCCTCAAATGGGGAAAAGACAGTCTTTTTAACAAATGGTGCTGGCAAAACTAGATGTCCATCTGCAAAAAAATGAAACAGGACCCTCAAACCATACACAAAAACTACTTCAAAATGGATCAAAGACCTAAATATAAAAACCAAAAACTATAAAGATCATGGAAGAAAAAATATGGTCAACTCTAGGGGCCCTAATACATGGCATTAACAGGATACAAGCCATGACTAACAACACACAAACACCAGGAGATAAGCTAGATAACTGGGATCTTCTAAAAATTAAACACTTACGTGTATCAAAAGACTTCACCGAAAGAGTAAAATGAGAACCTACAGACTGGGAAAAATTTTTTGGCTATGACATCTGACAAAGGTATAATCTCTAAAATCTACAGGAAAATCCAGCATCTCTACAACAAAAAAAAAAAAAATCCAGTTAATAAATGGGCAGACATTAGAGAAATGCAAATCAAAACCACAGTGAGATACCATCTCACCTTGTCATTACTGGCGTGAATCAAAAAAACAAAAAAATAACAAATGTTGGAGAGGCCGCAGAGAGATTGGAATGCTTATGCACTGTTGGTGGGAATGCAGAATGATACAACCATTTTGGAAAACAATATAGCGCTTCTTTAAAAAGCTAGAAATAGAAACACCGTATGATCCAGCAATTCCACTTCTACGAATATATCCTAGACAAATAAGAGCCATCACACGAATAGATATATGCACACCCACGTTCATTGCAGCATTGTTCACAATAGCAAAAAGATGGAAACAACCTAAGTGTCCATCAACAGATGAATGGATAAACAAACTATGGTACATGCACACAATGGAATACTACACAGTAAAGAACAATGATGAATCTGCAAAGCATCTGACAACATGGATGAATCTGGAGGGCATTATGCTGAGTGAAGTAAGTCAATCAGAAAAGGACAAATATAAGACCACTATACAAACTCATGAAAAGGTTTACACACAAAAGGAAACAATCTTTGATGGTTACAAGTGAGGGGAGGGTTGGGGAGGGAAAACCACTAAATAGACGATAGGTATGTGGTAACTATGGTGAAGGTTAAGACAGTACACAATATTGGGGAAGCCAGCACAACTTGTCAAAGTACAGGTCATGAAGGCTCCACAGATACATCCAAACTCCCTGAGGGAAATTGCTGGGCTGAGGGCTGTGGGGACCATAGTCTCAGGGAGCATCTAGCTCCAACTACTCTGTCTGACAGAAACTGGAGAAACCCCAAGAGTAAGGCCCCCAGACACCCTTAAAGCTCAGTAATGAAGTCACTCCTTATGTTCACCCTTCAGCCAAAGATTAGACAGGCCCATAAAACAAAATGAGACTAAATGGGCACACCAGCCCAGGGGTAAGGACAAGAAGGCAGGAGGGGACAGGAAAGCATTAATGGGGAACCCAAGATTAAGAAGGGGAGAGTGTTGACATGCCATGGAGTTGGCAACCAATGTCACAAAACGTGTATGTATTGTTTAATGAGAAACTAGTTTGCTTTGTAAACCTTCATCTAAAGTACAATAAAAATAAAAAAAGATTATCTCAGGGTAAATTTATCCAGCCTCAATGACTCCAGAAAGTGTGGATTCCAATAGGACAGTTCTTTCCACTGCACCCAGTGATATAATAACGTGCACCCAGATTAGAACAGTTTTGTCAAGTTCTGACCATGAAGAATACTTTGTAATGTGTTATGGTTTTGCTACCTCCATCAGACTGACGCATGTTAACTTATGAAGCTCTCCAGGGATAGAGAGCTCACCACGCACCACCTTCTTTGCTCATTCATTATCCTCTACTACAGCTGGTTTTGTTGTGGAGCTTGCTTACATAGTAGATGTAACAAGCCCTAAGTTTTTATTATTTATAGAAGTCCATGTGAAAACTCCAAGGCTGCTGGTGAACTCCTCATTTATTTCTTAAAGCCTAGCACAAACAGAAATCAACAGTTACATAATAGTAAATTGTATATAAAAAGTATTATCCTAGGAATACTACATTTTTATTTCTCAAAAAGCATACAATTTTTTTTTTTTGAAAATTCATCAAAAATGGAAAAGATGGACTTAACCTAACGGAAAAGATGGACTTAACCTAACCCTCACACCATACACAAAAACCAATTCAAAATGAATGAAGGACCTAAATATAAAAACTAAAACCATAAAATTCCTAGAAGAATATGTAGGGACGAAGCTGTAGGACCTAGTTTTTAGTAGTGAGCTATCAGATGCGACAACAAAAGCACGAGCAGCAAAAAACAAAATGTAAATGGGACCTCACAAAAATTAAATACTTAATGTGTATCAAAGGACTTTAACCAAAAAGTGAAAAGACAGCCTGTTGATTGAGAGAAAATGTTTGGGAACCATATATCTGATAAGGGTCTAATATCCAAAATACAGTATTTCTACAAATAAGCAGAAAGACAAATAACCCAGTCAAAAAATGGGTAAAGGACTTGAACCAACAGTTCACCAAAGAGGATATTCAAATGGCCAACAAACACTTGAAAAGAGATGCAGATCACAACTACAATGAGACACCGTCTCACCCCCATTAGGATGGCAAGGGATCAAAAAAATGGAAATAATTTGGCGATGCCTCTAAAATTTGAACATAAAACTACAATATGACCCAGCAATTCCACTTTTTGGTATATACCAAAAAACCTTAAAGCTGCAACGCGACAGACACATGTACATCAGTGTTCATTGCAGCAATACTCACAATTTCCAAAAGGTAGAAACCAAAATGTCCATCAATTTATGAATGGATAAACAAAGTGTGTTAAATACATACAATGGTATATTACTCGGGCATAAAGAGGAAAGACGTTCTGGTGCATGCCACAACATGGATAAACCTAGAAAACATGTTGGGTGAAATCAGAAACCAAAACTTCTTGCCGTCAAGTCAGTTCTGACACACAGCAACCCTATAGGACAGAGTAGAACTGCGTAGGGTTTCTAAGGAGCAGCTGGTGGACTCCAACTACCAACCTTTTTGCTTCCTTAGATTACAGCCTTGGAAACCCTATGGGGCAGTTCTACTCTCTCTTACGGGGTTGCTGTGCACTCTACGGCAGTGAGTTTGGACCAGGAGTGGGAGGGAGAGGGAAGGAAACCGTTTTTGCTTGGGGTGCATTGAATGTTTGTTAATGGTGGAATAATTTGGAAAAGGGTAGTGAGGATGGTTACACAACTTGAAGAATGTAATCAGTGTCACTGAATTATACATGTAGAAATTGTTGAATTGCTATATGTTTTGTTCAGTATATTTTCACAATTTAAAAAAAGAAAAGGCCTTAACTAGCATTCACATTGGCATCCTTGATGATACCAGCACTAGAATATTGTCTGTGATGATATTAACTTGCTGCCTCATCTTTTTCGGTTTTCCCCTAGTAGGTTCTGACTTATTCTGGAGAGGAGCAGGAAGTGATATGAGCAGGAATTGTTGGGAGACCCGAACAAATAACCTGCGTATGGTGAGTAATTGTATCTCCATATAGATTGTCTCCTAAAATACATGTATTATATCCTTTGCATTTCTTTGTGTTAATATTTCCCTGGTGTAAGAATAATTGGAATGAGATATAAAACTTAAGAAAGGATGACAACTGACAGCATGATTTAAACTGTCTGAATTATAGAACCAGGAGGGAACTTGAAGTTTTTTTTAATTCAACCTATACATGGTACAAATGAGGAAACTGAAGACTGGCCACAGTAACTGCCTGGTCTTAGAGTTCTATCCAGGCTTATTGAATAATATGAAAACATGAGTTTTTTGTTCTTTGTTTTTTGTCTTTTTTTTAAAAAAAAACTGAATTGCAATTCCCACAGTAAAGATTTAAAGCCGGAAGTTTGAATATTCCCTATTCATTCTAAGCTAGCGCTTCCAAAATGGGTGGATTGCCTTGAATTTTCACAACCCTGAGACTGGATAACCTTTTACTGTCTAGTATGCAACACTTGAAAACAGTTTACATTTATTGTTAACAAAGGTTTTTGGTTTTGTTTTTCTAGGACTGTCGGAAGAAGCATAAAGATGCAAAAAGAAAAGTGAAACCAAAATAATGAGTATCACCATTGGTTATGATACTGTATGTGAACAGGCTCACCTAAGGAAATTGACCCAGAAAATAATTTTAGCTGACAAAGAAGAAATTTTAGAATGAAGAACATCCAAATTCTGGTTAATGGAATATCATTCTGGTTGCTGTCTTTTTCTGCATAACTGTACTGTACTTCTAAGTAATTACTTCAAAAAATTAAACTGAACTTTTTTTAATGAAGCCCAGCATAGATCCCCAAAATACCTTTCAACTTTTTGTATGGAATCTCTTTGCTTTCCATCCTTAATAATTCATAGGTATCTTCTGATGTAAGCCTTACATGAAACCTTTTTTTAATAAGTGGGTCAAAGTAGTTGTGTTTTCCAAGTTAGGCTTTATGTGAATTATAGGCTGTTTGAAATACTTATTTCTGTTTGCACTGAATACACCTTATCTCCATTTCGTCATTTCTTTTTAATGAACAGTCTAATTACAAGTCAACCTGGAGTTCTGTACAAGACTACCTTTGAGGACTAGAAAAGGAAGCCGAATAGAGTATTCTTGTCCTTGGCCTCCAGGAATTAGGAAGCAGCATATGAAGGCAGGCTCATCAATCCCAAAATCCTGGTTAGACCAGAAACATATGAAAAATAACTAGTGTCTGAAAGATGTATGACCACAATTAGGAGTCAGGAGTCAATCCAGATAAAGAAGTAGATTTAATAATTAAAAAACCAACCTAAGATTCAGGATAAATATGCTCCCTATCAAACTGGGCTTTATAAAAAGTGTTATATCAACCTTAGTGCCCATCAGCAGATGAATGGATAAACAAAGTATGGTGTATACACACATTGCAGTACTATGTGATGAAGAATAATGATGAATCTGTGAAACATCTGACAACATGGATGAATCTGGAGGGCATTATGTTGAGTGAAATAAGTCAATCACAAAAGGATAAATACTGTGTGAGACCACAATTATAAAAACTCATGAAAAGGTTTACGTACAGAAAGAAACAATCTTTGATGGGTACAAGGTAGGGAAGGGGTGGGGAGGGAAAAACACTAACTAGACAATAGACAGTGGTAACTGTGGTGAAGGGTAGGACAGTATACAATACTGGGGAAGCCAGCACAACTTGACCAAGGCAGAGTCATAGAGGCATCATAGACACATCCAAACTACCATAAAGGATCGAGTTACTGGGCTGAGGGCTGGTGACCATGGTCTCGGGGAACATCTAATTCAATTGGCGTAACATAGTTTATAAAGAAAATGTTCTTCATTCTACTTTGGTGAGTAGTGTCTGGGGTCTTAAAAGCTTTGAGCAGCCATCTAAGATAGGTCTACTGGTCCCGCCCCATCTGGAGCAAGGTAGAATGAAGAAAACCAAAGACACAAGAGAAAGTCCAAAGGACTAGAGGAACACAACTACCACAGCCTCCACCTGGCTGAGTCCAGCACAACTAGATGGTGCCTGGCTACCACCACTGACTGCTCTGACAGGGATCACAACAGATGGTCCCGGACAGAGCTGGAGAAAAATGTAGAACAAAATGGTAACTCATAAAAAAGAGTAGACTTACTGGCCTGACAGACTAGAAAAACCCGAAGAGTATGGCCCCCGGACACCCTTTTAGCTCAGTAATGAAGTGACTCCCGAGGTTCACCATTCAGACAAAGCTAAGACATTCCCATAAAACAAAATGAGACTAATGGGGCACAACAGTCCAGGGACGAGGACTAGAAGGCAGGAGGGGACAGGAAAGCTGGTAATAGGGAACCCAAGGTTGAGAAGGGATAGTCTTGACATGCCATGGGGTTGTTAACCATTGTCATAAAATGTGTACTGTTTAATCAGAAACTATTCCGTAAACCTTCATCTAAAGTACAAAAAAAAGAAGACTGAGAAATAGATTAAAAAAAAAAAAAACTACGGAGCACAGTTCTACTCTGGCACACATGGGATCATCACAAGTAAAAAAAAATGTTCTACATTCTACTTTGATGAGTAGCGTCTGGGGTCTTCAAAGCTTTATGAGTGGCCATCTAAGATCCGTCTACTGGTCCCACCCCATCTGGAGCAAGGTAAAATGAAGAAAACCAAAGACAAAAGAGATTAGTCCAAAGGACTAGAGGAACACAACTAACAGCCTCCACCGGGCTGGGTCCAGCACAACTAGATGGTGCCTGGCTACCACCACTGACTGCTCTGACAGGAATCATAATAGAGGATCCCAGACAGAGCTGGAGAAAAATGTAGAACAAAATTCAATCCCACAAAGACTAGATTTACTAGTCTGATGGAGACTGGAGAAACCCCAAGATTATGGCCTCCAGACACCCTTTTAACTCAGTAGTCAACTCCTGAGGTTCACCCTTCAGGCAAAGATTAGACAGGCTCATGAAACAATAATAACGTAGCTCAACCCCGTATACGAGAGTAAATGGGTACCCTAGCCCAGGGACAAGGACGAGAAAGCAGCAGGGGACAGGAAAGCTGGACAAATGGAAATGAGGACCTCCAGGGTTGAAAAGGGGACAGTGTTGACATGTCACGGGGTCGGCAACAAATGTCACAAAACAATATGTTCCATGAGAAACTAATTTGATCTGTAAACCTTCACCTAAAGCACAAAATTTTTTAGTGTTATATAGACAGTTCCAAATGATTATAATTTAACCCTCATGTGTGTATCTGAGATTCTAAGTGGATTTACATCATGATGGTCTCTCCCAATTGAATGTAAACTGTATGAGGGCTTTATTCTAATCCAGCTCGTTAAGAATTATGGCCCCACTGCCTAGAATAGTGTCTAGCACATAGTGCGTACTCAATGTTTTTTAATAAATAGGGGGTCCAAGGAACAAAGTAGCCAGAGTCATTCTGGATTCCTCCGTTTCCAAGACTTCAAACTTCATGGAGAATAGGAACAACCACTCGAAGATAAATAATTCAAATGTTCCACCTTCTCTTAATGTAGATCACATTTATACCATTATACCCTTTTATCTACTGCTGCAGTGGTTAAGAGCTTTGCTGCTAACCAAAAGGTCAGCAGTTCCAATCTACCAGCTGCTTCTTGGAAACCCTATGGGGCAGTTCTACTCGGTCCTATAGGGTCGCTATGAGTCAGAATCAACTCAGCAACGAGTATCTATCACAGCATGACAAACTGACCTGGGGACTGCTCATCTCTGGTCCATGTAATGTCCCTTAGGGTGGCTCAGCTGGGGCTAGAGGATCCACTTCTAAGATGGCTTTCTCTTAGTGCCTCTTCATGGGCTTCTTCACAGCATGGCAACTGGGTTCCAGAAACAAGTATTCCAAGAGGCAGGAAGCAGCTGCTACCAGACTCTTAAGGCCTGGACCCAGAAACTGTCTCAGAGGCATTTCCACTGTATTCTACTGGTCAAGACAGATACAGCCCACCCAGATTCAAAGGGAGGAGACACAGACCTTCAGCTCTCAATGTGAAGAGTATCAGATAATTTGTGTCCATATTAAATCTGCAACACCCTCCAAACCAGAAGCAGATGAGTAAGGGACATCAAGTGGACTGACTTGTGTTTGGGCCCTATTAAGATTGTGTGCTGGTTAAGATTCTGCGTCAACTTGGCTGGGCCATGATTTACAGTGTTCTGACCATCATGTGATGTGGTCACTTCCTGGTTGAGATCTAGTATGTGATCACCCCCATGATGGGATCTGCTGTGAGTAGCCAATTGGTTGAAGGGGAGTTTCCTTGGGTGTGTGGCCTGCATCGAGTACGGGCAGATGTTTCTGGCAGGGTTCAGGGGCTTTTGCTCATTCTGGATCCTGCAGCTGGCTCCTATACATCTGACCTCTGCTTCTTGGGACGTGAGCTCGTAGCTTACCTGCAGTCTTGCCTGTCGATCTTGGGATTTGTCAATCTTCACAGCCTGTAAGGAAGAGCCTTGCTCCTCAACCTGCTGATCTTGGGTTCACCAGCCCCTGCTGCTACGTCAGTCAGGAGAAGCCTCCATCCTGACCCACGGACTTGGGACATTCCAGCCTCTACAACTGTGTGATCCATTTCCTTGATATAAATCTCTCTATATATATTCATATGCTTTACTGGTTTTGGTTCTCTAGAGAACCCAGCCTAAGAGAGCCCCCATGTCCAGTCTACACTGGATGCCTTTGTCTCCTATAATAATCTTTCCTCACCTTAGTCCCCTATGCCAATGAACACACTATGAATGTTGTGACCCAAACCTGCACCTCCAAAATAACTAGCTGAAACATGCTGTTCTTATCTTACAAACTCAGAACTTGTCAGTTTTTTAAATTATTTCCCCTACAACTAACCTACCTTATCAGAACTTTCAAATTTTTAATCCCTCCCTCCTTATGCCACATCCTTCTACAACTAGCTTAGAGTCTACTAGCCATTAATTCAGTTATTCTCTTGAAAATGCTTTAAATCTGTTTAATTGTTTTTTTATCCTGCCTGTCTGGCAAAATCTTAAATTTGAATAACTCCAACCCAGGCTGCTAAGACTACTATTGTGAGCTGCCTTAGAGTTAGCCCTAGACTCAAGGCAATCCCATGTGTTAAAGAATAGGGTTTTCTTGACTGTAACCTTTACAGAAGCAGTTCACCAGGCCTTTCTTCAACAGAGCCACTGGGTGTGTTTGAGTTGCCAACCTTTAGCTTAGCAGCCAATGGCAAACCACTTGTGTCACCCAGGCTCAAGACTATAAGAGGAAATCACTCGGTGAGGCAGGTTGGTCCCACTAAAAATCATGGACACCAGCCCTGCCTAAGGCCTCAGCATTGACCAACAACCTGCATGCATTTCTCTATGTCAGTGCAACTCTAGTGTCTGACCCAAGAAACACTAGCCTCAGACACTGGTAGTGTTTAAAATGCAGCTTCCTGGGTCCTTCCTTAAACGTGATTGTGGTTGGGACAGGGAATGTGCCTTTTTTTTTTCCCTAAGTACCCAGCTGTTGGTTCTGTTTCAGTCACATGGTATCCTACTCAATGTGTAAAGCTCCAACTCACTCCACCACTCCCATTCTCAAAAGATAACCATGCTTCCAACTTTAGAGGGGGAAAAAAAGGAA